CTGTGCCCGATGTGAGCTCAGGCTATCCTCTACTCGCCTACGTGTGTGATATTCAGTGAATTTAGTTTTCAGCTCTCTAAGCACTCTCTGTTTGTGGGTTTCTCTACATTTTTATGAAGCAAAAGTATGTATTTCATACTGTGGAAATACAAATGTCAACTTCTGAATCATGTGTGGATGTTTATACTTGTTGTTCGGAGCATTTATAATCACCATAACAATGTTCTTTATTGCACCCGAATATGTTCTGACAAACCAATGGCACCATTTTCTGCTGCATTTGCAGTGTGGAAAACGAGTGATGAGTCATACAAAAACATCCCAGTCATTAAAGTCCCAGTCCCGTCATATTCACAATGCATGGATTCATATTGATGTTATATATCTCTGCCTTTTTCCCACTGCAGCAAGAGTGACCGTTATCAGTAGAAGTTCATTTACGTTGTTGTCATACTGGATATTTAAGGACAAGAAAGGAACATATTGATATACAGATGTGAGTTTGACTGAAGAAATGTGTGTTTCAGTTAAAAAATCCTTAATATTTGTGGTTTGGAGCATTTCCATCCATCCATCTTCTCCCGCTTATCCGTGGTCGGGTCTCGGGGGTAGCAGTTCCAGCAGAGAGCCCCAAACTTTCTTTTCCCTGGCGACATCAACCAGCTCTGACTGGGGGATCCCAAGGCGCTCCCAGGCCAGCGAAGAGATATAATCCCTCCACCTGGTCCTAGGTCTACCCCTTGGTCTCTTCCCAGCTGGACGTGCCTGGAACACCTCCTAGGGAGGCGCCCAGGTTGCATCCTTACTAGGTGCCCGAACCACCTCAACTGGCTCCTTTCGACGCGAAGGAGGAGCGGTTCAACTCCGAGTCCCTCCCGGATGACTGAACTTCTCACCTTATCCCTAAGGGAGACACCAGCCACCCTGCGGAGAAAACCCATCTCGGTAACACTTTACAATAAGGTACACAAAATGTGCTTAGTTACTGCTTAGTTACTGAGGAACTACTAGATAGTTAATGGTTAGTTCCTCAGTGACTGCGATTGAGGAACTGATGGTTAGTTACTGGTAAACAGACTGGGGGGTACTGTATTAACAAATCATTCGTTAATGGTTACTTAATGAGTAGTTCCTCAGTGACTGCGATGGATGGTTAGTTAGTTACTGGTAAACAGACTGGGGGTACTGTATTAATGAATCATTCGTTAATGGTTACTTAATGAGGAGTTCCTGAGTGAACTAATGCTTAGTTACTGGTAAACAGACTGGGGTACTGTATTAATGAATCATTCGTTAATGGTTACTTAATGAGGAGTTCCTGGGAGACTTTGATTGAAGCAATGGTCCGCTGCAGCAGGGCACATTTAAACCTGCCATCTTCGGCTGGCTTGGGTCCCACCCTGGATCAACTGGTGGAGGTGGATCCGATTTACCTTACCATTACTTAGGCCGTTTGGGTACGGTAAACTCAAGGAACGCAAACAAAAACAGTAGTTACCCATTACCTAATGATTACCTTACCGTTACTAAAACAGTAGTTACCCATTAAGTAATGCCTACTTAACCATTCGTTAAGCATGTGTGTCCCCTCAAGTAAGTAATGCATCAAAAACAGTAGTTACCCATTACCTAATGCCTACTTAACCATTCGTTAAGCATGTGTGTCCCCTCAAGTAAAGTAATGCATCAAAAACAGTAGTACCCATTACCTAATGCACTTACCATTCGTTAAGCATTGTGTCCCCTCAAGTAAAGTAATGCATCAAAACAGTAGTTACCCATTACTAATGATTACCTCACCATTAGTTAAGCAGTTTAACAAACAAACAAACTGTTGATGACAATGACGGATCTACAGCCACTGAAGTTTTACATTTTTATTCAAACAACGATGAACATAACAACAACAACAAAAAATGGAAATAAAAAATACTTTTTATAAAAGAAAACTAAAAACAAGTGCAAACCAAAAAAACATCCATTCCTTCCTCACTTCCCCTTTGGATGAATGGATAATAGTCCTCCATTGGTCTTCAAGTCCTGGACCTTCCCCTCTAAATGTTGGTCCTTTATGGCAGCTTTACACATCTCCGAGAAACGGAGAAGGGTTTCCCCCTTCTTCAGTGTTCCCCGGATATCTTGGTAGATGCCCGGGTTCACGGCATGCAGTTCTGCAATTCCTGCAGTGTCGGCAATGGTTTTGCGGTCCACTCCTACCGCTCTGTAAGCCGCCGTTTTATTATTCCCCTTGTTTACCGCCTCAAGAACACGCTTGTAGCGGCTTCAGGAGGTCAGGACTGAAACAGAGAAAAAGACAAATATGTAACTATTTAACAACAGTACTTTGTTGTTGCCTATCCTAATGATGTCTGTAGTGCAGAAATCAGTTTGGATATGGGTTTATTTATTGATAATATTGTTGTACTAGTGTTATATAGTGGTAGTGTAATCCTTACATACAAAATTGTGTAATGAATTGGTGTAGTGTAAAGGTATTACTAGTCGTGTAGCTTTGCTCAAAATAATGTATGTATATATGTTAGTTATTGTGTTTGGGGTGTGTACCTTTATATACAGAAGTTAGGTTTGGGCAATCAGCTCTACTTTTATCCAATCATGTTTAATAATGATAACTGATAAGACGATCCACAATGTGGATTTAACGCTCTATCGACATTGCCCCGTTTCTAATTTATAACGCATCAATATTGCCAAGTTTTAGCCTGGCATCCTCATGTCTCAGCAGCCTTTAAATGGAACAGTTTGGAGAATCTGCTCTCCCTGTTCTTTTATTAAAATCTGACACTGCAGGTTAATGTAAGCGTGCAGAGACCAGTTGTTTGGAAGCACTGATGTCGCTCTGAACAGAGCGACATCACAGCATGTTCTGTTTAACATTATAGGCCTACTTATATTCAGGGATGCAAACACCCGTATGGTGAAATAAGAGAGAACTATTAGAAACAGAAAAAACAGCGTAATATACCATCTGACAAAGGCCTGCGCTATAATGCGTCAATTAACTGGCTATTCTTTATAATATACGGATAGGAGACAGAGATGTTAAGTTACAAATAAAGGGTTTTTATTACTATTTAGATCAGGGGTGGGGAACTTTTTTCTCTCAAGGGCCATTTCAATTTTTACAACTTTCTCCAAGGGCCGTACAAATATTGAACTCAATTTCTGCTTAAAAATTCTAAAACCAGCCCATTCATTTCACCTTTCTTTCATGCTGTGCAAAGAAAAAGCAACCTCTTAATCCAGATATTTTACCATGACTCATGCATGCATGCATACACGGTTGTGGCATGACCACCAAAACAGAAAGATATGGACACAAGATGTGTGCAAATTTGTTTTTAAATATTGAAGTTAAAGCATCAATCTGGTGCACTTTGAGAGCAAAATGAAGAGATCTATGGATAATCTCTCAACACCCATATGAAACAGAACTGTAAGCAGATTACTCTTTTTCTTTATGGATATTTTACAAATCACTCTCCTTTTAAACTGTATTCTTGTTATTTTAAAAAACGTTTTTGTTACTGTCAAAGTATTTTATACCTGTATACCAAAACTACAACTCTTCGCTTCTCCACGAATTACACAAGTCACCCAAATCAGCGTCAAGGTTAGCCTGTTTTTAACGCAAAAAACAATGCTGTGTTTTGAATATCGGGGCCTTAACACCAGGTACCTCCTACTCAAAATTCCCAGCATCCGTTGAGCAAAAATGGCTGCAGAACCCAGGGTGAGGATGCTCAGAGTACATAGCCCGAATGACACCTCTTTTCCCATGTCCTACGTATCCTGCACAACACAAAAGTGAAAATCTGATCTACAGAAGGCTGTAAATGTAATAATACATTTGATTTCGATCATTTGTATGTATAATGTTATGAATGATCTGCTATCTTCAATACTATGGTTAAGTGATATTTAAATTAAACTTTAAAAAATCTATATACAGGCTGTCACCATATTTTGGAATTGTGAAAAGACTGGCAAGCCACTTCCCTTATAGCTTTACAGTTACCTGGATTTTATTCCACCAGCCCTGCAGATATTACACTAGCCTACAAACCTCAATAGGCATGACTCCTAAAATCCCTAAATCTGTTGATTTTTTAGAGATACTTTTTAAATATTGTTCTATAATGATTAAATGTCAGTGAATAACAAGATGTTTAATTATATAACTTTTACATCTCATTTAATGTAATGTATTATTATTATTATTATTATGTAACACGTGGGTCCTCGTGGTTTAGCTAGCAACCTCAAATCAGATAGCACAGAACAAAAAGTGTAATAACATGTGTCAATTGAGATGATTTCGCGATGCAGTGATACTGATTTCTCAAATGACAAAAATAAATTTCAATTCATACTTATTCTGACACTAAACGCTTAGGGGGCCCCATCCTCTTTCGCTTGCTTCTCGAGTCCATTTTCAGTTCTAAGCGTGTAGACTAGAGCATAGACTGTACATATAAGATGTAGAGGTTGAGTTTTATCACTAGCCGAGATGCACGTGACAGGCTCATGGCCAATCGTAGCACTTGAATGCTATGAAGGGGCGTGTCTTGCATAGTGCTCCAGCCGGATCCCGATTTGCAGCGCATTAACACTTTATTACGGTTTTAATATTTTTAATTGTATATCAGTGAATATAAAGAAGCTGTGCTTTGTAAATTGAACAAGGAAGATGAAATACCTGATTCAAAACATCAAAACTATTGGTTTGAATCGTGTGAACAAGAAATGAGGATCAGGGTGCTAGGGCGCTAGTGCGCTCAGCGGAGCTTCCTCCACTTCCGGTCTGGCCCAGCGGCAGCACATCTTGAACTACGCTGGGTGTTAGGTTTTGTGGACGGGCCGGGGCCGCAGTAACGCAGTAGTAACGCCGCAGTCAGGTTTAGGTTATCATGACACTGCACACCAAAGTACTCAGTCTTATTGACGGAAGACAGACTTTTTAAAAAAAGAAAAAATTAATGAATGGCTAATGAAAAAGGAATTGCTTCAAGGAAAAATGAAATGCAAACTCTGCTAAAAGAGGATGAAACTGGAGAAACACTCAAACGTCGACGGACTGCAGTGGTAGGCTAAGTCGTAAATTTTTAGCACGGGTTTTAACGATGTCTTCCTCTGTTTACTGATATGTAATGTTACAAAGACAAGTTCTTTATCAGGAAAAAAGGACTAGGAATTTACGATTTGTCTTTTGTAGGAAGTGCCGACGTAAAAAACACCGAGGGAAAACGACGAAGAAGTCAGTGAGGTCTTTGTCCCTGTTTCAGAGGAGCAAATTGTCCTTGTTCAGCTGGATGAAATACATTTACAGGTAATATTAATTCATCAATAATATCAGTCATTTCCTCAAAGCACAGCAAATGAATGCCTGTAAGTATTACATTTATTTTAAGCATGTTGACTGTTGTTTAACATTACCGATATCTAAATGCTAATTTCAGTTAGCGCGTCAATGACGTTATCCATTATATGTTAGCATTGAGCTAGCGGACCAAGCGCTAGTTATTTGGCAATTCACAACGCAGGCTGCTTGGAGGTGTGGCGGGGCACAATGGCGCCTTTCACACCAAGCCCCCAGGAAGTGCGCCGGACTCTGAGGAGAACATTCGAGAGTTATTTCCCTCGGCATTATGAACGCGCATCCAACCCACGGGACCGCGCCGCCCGGCACCTTCATGTTACGTGTTCTGTACTACATGCGTTTTACCCTTAACCATAGACTGTATATATAAAGGTTTTACCTTTACCCATGGATGCACAATAAGAACGGACCCGTATCGCCTTGCCGTTCGGGTGTTCAGAGCAGAGCTCCCTGTTGGAGCGGCAGAGCGTGATGTGAACAGAAAAATGTTTCTGTCGCAATATTATTTAAGAATCGTTGAGCTAGCTAACTAGCATACATTGTCACTATCTGCTAACATTAGCTTTAGCTTTCGTTTTCTAATAGTTTTTCTCATAGGCTATAAACAGAATAGATCTTGTACTTGAGTAAAAGTAGAAGTACTCAGATATTGTACTTGAGTAAAACAGAAGTACTCAGATATTGCACTTGACTATAAGTACTCAGATCTTGTATTAGAGTAAAAGTAGAAGTACCAGAGTGTACGAATACTCTGTTACAGTAAAATTCCTGCATTCAAAATGTTCCTCAACCAAAAAATGGGTTCAGAACGTTACAATGTGTGATTATTCTAATAGCTTAAAAAACATGTGTAGATGCTCTGATACAGGGAAACTTGATAGATAAAATTAATTAGCAACATTAAAATATTCTGTTTCATCTTGAGTAATAACAAATGTCTAATGTGAATTATAATTATACATTAGCCACTGGTGCTGAATGCGTTCTTCTTCATATGCTTTTGTTCATATTTAGTAATTCTATATTGATCTTTAACAGATTTTCCCAGGGACTGCAGCTAAGGCAAATTGACATGCTGCAGGATGGCGTGGCAGGAAGCAGTCGCACGCTGTCAAAAATTAGCCTGAAGTTGAGGAAGGTCTGCAAGAGTGCAATCAAGAGGAGAGAAAGGAGGGGAAAGCAGAGACTTGGAGGACCAAACGAATTTGTCATGCTGGACGAAAGCAACTTCTACCACAAAAGGAAGGTGTGTATAAACTACAGAGCCTTAGCCTTTGGCCTCACTAAAACTAAAACCTTTGTTTTTCAAGGTGAAATAACAACATATATTTTAAGGTCAGAGATTAACAAATGAATGAGCAAAGTAATTTTATAATTGTGTCATTCACACCCTTGTGACTGGCGAGACAAAGTATACATTAGAGAGAGCCAGCTCCACAGTGTATACACAGTCAAATAACAGAAAAAAAGAATTTAGAAGCTAAGAATTATCTCATCCAATCAGATCATTAAAGATGGGGTAGGTAAGTTTCAGAAACCGGCTCGAGATACACTTTTTGTTATATTCCATGGAATGCTCTTAACATCCCGATAGCAATGAATATCTTAAGTGCTTTGACAATAAATTTAAAAAAATGTCCTCTGTAGAAGCCGTAATACTGTAAAAAGTACAACCAATCCGTTTAGCGGCTAAACGGGGATGGCCTACCTGCCTGTCAGCCTTCCATCGGGGCACAAACTTATCTCGTGCCCTCATTGGTCATGTGCGCGTTCGTGTGTGTTGGAGGAGGGGCTCTGTAGGAAGTGGCAGATTTTCTCCGGTTGTGTATTTTCAAATTCTAGCGATCTCGAGCCGGTTTCTCAAACTTACCTACCCCACCTTTAAGGAAATAAATCCTTATTCTTACTTTTTATTACTAACATTTTAAAAGTGCATAATCTTATTTATATATCATCTAATTACAATATCTATCTTACATTTTCATGTTTCTTGCAGCAAAATTTAACTTAATAAAATTAAACAGCCTTTTCTGTTTGTACCACTACATTTAATTTTTTCTCTTCTTTTTTGAGAAAGGAAGTGAATATTTTTAAATTGTAAAAGAAAGCAAATAAACACATTTCACTTTGTTTATCAATTGAAATTCCTGATGTTTATTTTTATATAACTGTGTTGTCCTTTTTCACTGCTTTATTACAGTATGGTAGGGGAAGATTCGGTCCTACGTGGAGGAGGAGAAAATGGGTCTTTGGAATGCTGGGCATCAGAGGAAAAAGGAGAAGACCTATCCTGAGGCTGGTGAAACAAAGATCACGGCGCCACTTAATTCCTCTGGTCACAAAATACGTTCGCCAAGGGACCACGGTGATAACGGACATGTGGAGGGCATACACACACTGCAATCGCAGAAAGTGGCTTTGTCCATTTCTCTGTGAACCACAGCCGGTCATTTGTGAACCCAGACACAGGAGCCCACACCCAAAACATTGAGCGGGCTTGGTCAACGTACAAGTCACAGGTCTGGAGACTGCGAGGAAACCGCACAGTGAAGACTCTGAAGAGTCATCTTGCTTTCATCGAGTGGACACATTGGCTGGCAAATGAACACAAAGATGGTCCCTTAGGCAGATTGCTGCATGACATACGCCACTTTCGCAAGTTCTGATGCAACCTTGTTTTCATTATTAGTGTCCTTTGGATTGTTGTTTAAATAAAAATGTAAATTTGAGTGCACAGGGTTTGTTTATTTGTTTACTGCTTAACTAATGGTTAAGTAATCATTAGGTAATGGGTAACTACTGTTTTTGATGCATTACTTTACTTGAGGGGACACACTGCTTAAGGAATGGTTAAGTAGGCATTAGGTAATGGGTAACTACTGTTTTTGATGCATTACTTTACTTGAGGGGACACACTGCTTAACGAATGGTTAAGTAGGCATTAGGTAATGGGTAACTACTGTTTTTGATGCATTACTTTACTTGAGGGGACACACAATGCTTAACGAATGGTTAAGTAGGCATTAGGTAATGGGTAACTACTGTTTTTGATGCATTACTTTACTTGAGGGGACACACAATGCTTAACGAATGGTTAAGTAGGCATTAGGTAATGGGTAACTACTGTTTTTGATGCATTACTTTACTTGAGGGGACACACAATGCTTAACGAATGGTTAAGTAACATTAGGTAATGGGTAACTACTGTTTTTGATGCATTACTTTACTTGAGGGGACACACAATGCTTAACGAATGGTTAAGTAGGCATTAGGTAATGGGTAACTACTGTTTTTGATGCATTACTTTACTTGAGGGGACACACAATGCTTAACGAATGGTTAAGTAGGCATTAGGTAATGGGTCTACTGTTTTTGATGCATTACTTTACTTGAGGGGACACACACAATGCTTAACGAATGGTTAAGTAGGCATTAGGTAATGGGTAACTACTGTTTTTGATGCATTACTTTACTTGAGGGGACACACAATGCTTAACGAATGGTTAAGTAGGCATTAGGTAATGGGTAACTACTGTTTTTGATGCATTACTTTACTTGAGGGGACACACATGCTTAACGAATGGTTAAGTAGGCATTAGGTAATGGGTAACTACTGTTTTTGATGCATTACTTTACTTGAGGGGACACACAATGCTTAACGAATGGTTAAGTAGGCATTAGGTAATGGGTAACTACTGTTTTTGATGCATTACTTTACTTGAGGGGACACACAATGCTTAACGAATGGTTAAGTAGGCATTAGGTAATGGGTAACTACTGTTTTTGATGCATTACTTTACTTGAGGGGACACACAATGCTTAACGAATGGTTAAGTAGGCATTAGGTAATGGGTAACTACTGTTTTTTGATGCATTACTTTACTTGAGGGGACACACAATGCTTAACGAATGGTTAAGTAAGCATTACTTAATGGGTAACTACTGTTTTAGTAACGGTAAGGTAATCATTAGGTAATGGGTAACTACTGTTTTTGATGCATTACTTTACTTGAGGGGACACACAATGCTTAACGAATGGTTAAGTAGGCATTACTTAATGGGTAACTACTGTTTTAGTAACGGTAAGGTAATCATTACTTAATGGGTAACTACTGTTTTTGTTTGCGTTCCTTGAGTTTACCGTACCCAAACGCCTAAGTAATGGTAAGGTAAATCGGATCCACCTCCACCAGTTGATCCAGGGTGGGACCCAAGCCAGCCGAAGATGGCAGGTTTAAATGTGCCCTGCTGCAGCGGACCATTGCTTCAATCAAAGTCTCCCAGGAACTCCTCATTAAGTAACCATTAACGAATTATTCATTAATACAGTACCCCCCAGTCTGTTTACCAGTAACTAAGCATTAGTTCACCCAGGAACTCCTCATTAAGTAACCATTAACGAATGATTCATTAATACAGTACCCCCCAGTCTGTTACCAGTAACTAACTAACCATCCATCGCAGTCACTGAGGAACTACTCATTAAGTAACCATTAACGAATGATTTGTTAATACAGTACCCCCCAGTCTGTTTACCAGTAACTAACCATCAGTTCCTCAATCGCAGTCACTGAGGAACTAACCATTAACTATCTAGTAGTTCCTCAGTAACTAAGCACATTTTGTGTACCTTATTGTAAAGTGTTACCCCCATCTCGGACCGCTTGTATCCGCGATCTCGTTCTTTCGGTCATGACCCATCCTTCATGACCATAGGTGAGGGTAGGAACGAAAATGGCCCGGTAGACAGAGAGCTTTGCCTTCTGGCTCAGCTCCCTTTTCGTCACAACGGTGCGGTAAAGCGACTGCAGTACCGCTCCCGCTGCTCCGATTCTCCGGCCCATCTCACGCTCCATTGTTCCCTCACTCGAGAACAAGACCCCGAGATACTTGAACTCCTTCACTTGGGGTAACGACTCATTCCCTACTTGGAGCATTTATAATCACCATAAAATCATCTTTATTGCACCCGAATATGTTCCGACAAACCAAAAAACAACGAGTGGTGAGTCATACCAACATCCTTTTAAATCAGTACTTTAAGAAGTCACAGTCCGTCACAACGTGTAGATATTGATGCACTTGAAATATATTCTAGTATATTTTTTCCCCTGGAGGAGAACGCAGCAGGAGTCGTTCTTATTGGACGACCTCTCTAATGTTGTCATACCAGATATTTAAGGAGCAGAAAGAAAAAGAAACCAGGACAAAAGAGATGATTTTAATATCATGTCTCCGTCAGCCTAATTACATTTTCCCTCGTGACACACACACACACACACACACACACACACACACACACACACACACACACCCACACACACACACACACACACTGCCAATTTGTACTGATAGAGCCTGAGCTGTCTGGCTAATTGCTTGCGGGTTTTGTCTGTGGCAGGATTACTAGTAAACAGAAGCCAATTACAGCTCAGTTCCGCCCCCATTTTCACTGCCAGGCCAGTATAAAAAAACACAAGGTTTTCCTCAGGTCAAATGAGAAGTTTCATACAGGCAATTAGTCGTTATTCCCCTCTCTTGCTGAGCAGTGTGGTGTCATCGCTGGAGGTCACATTTTTATAAACGTTGGTGGGTGTGAAGCTTTTCAAAGGAACTGCAGGTTATGTTATAGTCTCATAAAACTGGGCTGTATTTGAGCCGTAGTATGGCTAGATTTGATGTATTTTAATATTCTGATAGAGCTGCTAGAATTTGTGAGGGTGACCTAATTTGGTATACGATATTTGTAAGACTTTCCAGTAGAAATGTGACTTTACTCCAACCCTTAAAATAAGTGCACTTACCACAGTCCACAGTAAACATGTTGTAAACCTTTTGCCAGCTTACATTTCTACTCGAAAATTGGAAGTTACTCAAGTAGTACAAGGGTCATTCCAGAATTGGAGGACATTTCATGTCCCCCATATAAAAAAATCTAATAATAGATTCCCAAAATGCTAAAACATGCACTTGTTGTGTTAAACATACTTGTATTGAGACAAAATGTATATAAAGTTGTAGAAAAAGTGGTTTCAAAATATTATTTAAATGATCAAATAGCTCTCGAACATCCCCTAAAATGGCATTTTTCTCTTGTCCCCGCTTCTTGGTGACCAACTTGCGTCAAATATAACATTAAAAAGGGATGTTATTTACTTTTTTTTGGTATTATTCTATTGATATATGTCTCTTGTAATGGTAAAATAAATTTGTTAAATCATAAACATATTTTAGATAACAGTAATTTTGCACAGAAGGTGTGTCCCTCAACATGCGTTCAACCCTGTTACCCAAACCTTTTTAGATTGGCACAGGAAGTGAACAAACTGTAAATCAGATGACACACAGGAAGTGACATCAGCAAGCCATGTGCTAGTGCCATGGGTAGACCACAACTAAGTCCTCTCTTTTATTTCTCATATTTTTACAATCTTTTCAGTCTTAAAAGAGTGTGGCACTCCGACCCACTCAACCCTGTTACTGATATGATCAGAATAAAGCATATTCATTTCAAAGTGATCTTTCTTGCATTAGATATCCAAGTATGTCCTTGCCTTGAAAGTAGCATTACATGCTACATCTAGCAATAATTCTGAGGTTAAAGCTCAAATTAGCATTGATTTTCAACCCTGTTACTATAATTAGAGTAACGGGTAATTCTTCATTGGAAAATATTAATTTGATGCCTAGCTGGGCAAATCACTTTTTTTGATGGTTTATTATCTGTTTTTCCTAAATACATTAAAAAAATTAATAAAATAAAAGGTTCGTTTTTCAAAAATGTTGGTGTCTAAATTGTCCTCCAATTCTGGAATGACCCACAAATAAGTTTAGGTTCTTGTACTAATTATTGATATTGTACTACTTATTTTCAAGTACTATTTGGAGGCACATATTGTACTTTGTCTCCTCTATTAACTTTACAACATATTAATCTACTGAGGAATTTGATGCATAATCAGTGGTGTAAAGTACTTCTACTCCACTACAATTCAGAGGTACATGGTGTACTTTTACTCCACTACACGTATTTAATAGTTACTTCACAGATGTGGATGAATGATGTGAAATCTAATCAAGTGTTGAATCAGACTTTAGTTCCACCTGGAGTAAATCCACCAGCTACCCTGCAGAATACAAAGTCATTCAACTAGCTGCACCTTCACCAGCTTTGAGAACACTTTCATGATCAATCATTATAAAACATATCATATTATCTGAATAAATAATACTTCTACTTTCACTCAAGTACAAGATCTGAGTACTTCTACTTGTACTAAGTACAGATCTGAGTACTTCTACTTTTACTAAGTACAAGATCTGAGTACTTCTACTTTTACTAAGTACAAGATCTGAGTACTTTTACTCAAGATCTGAGTACTTCTACTTTTACTCAAGTACAAGATCTGAAATGTTCCATTGTACAGTTAACAGGAGACACAAACATCTAAACTTGGTCATCTTATAAAATCCCATGTGTCATACTCGTGG